ACCAGAAATGGCTGAACAAGCAAGATGTAAATAAAAGTACCTTTTTTTTTAGATTGTTCTTCCTTGAGTGAGAATCTGGCCAAGTTGTCCCTGAAATGTTTTGTTTGTTTTCTTGTGCAACATTGGCACTGAGGTATCTTTGACTTTACAGGTTTTACATCCCAATTGGATGGATAGAAAGAAGATGCACATGCAGCTCAAAATGTGGCAGAGTTTTTAAGTGCCTCTCGAAATTACAGTTCCAAGCACTTGAGGGTTTCCTGCATGTGTGGATGATTCTTAGAAAATATTACTATCTCATGTTCTAGTACTTGTTGGGAGGTGCGTCTGTCCCCACTCTTCTTATGATACCACTGGTCTTCAGTGATTTCATGGTTAAGCCCAGCTTTGCCACATTGAAGTAGAATTGTGTACTTGTTTTCCATCAAACCTGCTTTCATCAAGACTGCATGGTTAAATGCTGCAAGGTCAATTTGCAGGACTGGCTACTGAAAAAGCACCTCATTTTCCCACTTAATTGCACAATTTTCTGTTCTGTGCTAAAGTATTTATTTATACAGACTCACTGTAATTACACAGTGATTAGCAACTTTATAGGGTGTGCTCATACATAATACAGATGATATATGCTTTTTGAAACTCAGCTGCTGTAAGGTAACAAATTAATGTGGGTCAGATTTTTAGCAGTACTTGTGCAGTGTTGTATCTGATTCTGCTAATGGGGACTGCCCAAATGCCTCCCCTCAGGAAGAGGTAGCATCTGGGATCAGCCAGTCCCTGGAGCATCCATCCCTGAACCACCAGCCACAGGAACACTGGTAGAGAGGAGCGGGAAATGAAAGCAGTGAGTCTTCCTCATGAAGGCACTCTCTTTCCCTGTTTCTGGAATAGTGTCTTCACTTTCCTCCCACCTCAAGGACAGAACAGTTTGTCCTTTTAGAGCACTCCTGTGCAAACTGAATAAAAATGCCTGTAAGTGTTGATACGAAACCACAGTTTTGGCATGATTTCTCTTATACTCTAAAGGCTTTCTGTCTTCTATGGCAAATAACTTTGGGTAAATCGCATCACCGTTTTTTGTAAGATGTTTTTCTCTTTACTGTTAAATCATTACAAGTGGTGGTAGCTGGAACAGTTACTGCCGCTGTCATTAAGAGACCTCTGCATCTTGGAATCTCTGAAGTACATCAGCCCAGTCCACATCGAAACATCCAAGACTAAGTGAACTTTAATGTAAGCATGGAAGTAGTCTTGAGGCAGTCAGAAGGAAGAATCAAGTTTTTTTGTGAAAGGTAAGCACTTGATTAACTATTTTGTTAGGTCTAGTGCAACTTGTCATTGCTTTGAACAGCCATCTTTCAGCAAGTCAATCAAAGCAGCACAGGCAACTGTTGGACGAAGTCCAGAATAAAGGACCAAGTATTACTTGGTAGTAAAATAAAGTTTTCAAAATACTGGTATACATGCTGCTGAATGCTCCATCCCTGGCAATGTTCAAGGGTCTTGGGCAGCCTTGTCTAGTGTCAGGTGTCCCTGGAGGGATGGTTGGAAGTAGATGATTTTACTGTCCTTTCCAACCATAACATTCTATGATTCTGTGATGTGTTACAACACTTTAAATAGTAGAGGGAGTTAGAAACATCGAAGCAGTTCATAGGCTTCTACTGAGGTCATGGATGATGGGGACATGGCAGCATCATTCAAAAATAAAAAAGGGATCAACAGGCTACTTGGCTGAATCTGATAATTAACGGGTGCTCTGGGAGCTGGAGTGGGTCCTGAGCTTATGTGTTCCAATGGCTGCTGTGAGGCAAAGAGGTATGCAAAACCATGAGCTGGACAAGCCAGGGTAGTAGGAATGAGTCAGTGATACGGGCATCAGCCCACCAACAGCATGGCCTGAGAGAGACATGGGTGTTGGGCCTGAGGGATTTTGCTCTCAGCCAGTCTGCTGATTTACAGACTGGGATCCGCAGGGAAACATTGCTTTGGGTAGCTGTGGAAGGCAGAAAGAAACTTAAATTGTGAATGCTGGCAAGTAATTGCCACAAGTAATTGTATTGCATGTGCAGGGTGAGGGTCTGGAACTGAACTTTTGAACTCCTGAGTACAAGCCTGCTGCTTGCTGTGTGACTGCTTGTCACACCTGAACTAAGCAAAATCCTCCCACTAACAAATGGGCAGGAGTTGGTGAGCAGGGTGATCATCCTTTGTGCTTTTGTATGTAGATTATCACATGGGAAAGCAGGAGCTTGGGGAGTGGAAAGAAGGTGAACATTCTGCACGGAGAAAAGATGGTGGAAGGGTGGGGGGATCCTGGAAACGAGAGAGTTACATGGAGCCAGACACTGGGGAGCCTGGGTGCCTGGTCTGGTGGTGGTGAACAGCTGTGGAGCAGGGAGCCAGCAATGCTATTCTCAGAGGCCATCTCCTTGATGTGCTGGGCTGGTGTGCCTAACGGGGGGTGGATCGCTGGTCAGGGTGACAGCTCAGCTATCACTGGTTCTAAAATAAACCTGTGTATCAAGATCTGCAGCTTGTCTTCTTGCCTGTGACAGTACTGTAGGATGAACACATTCATTGTGTCTTATGGATCTCTTCCTGAACTGGGGCCAAGGCATCTGGGTGACATCTATACTGATTAAGATATTAAAATGCAGGATCTGTTCTTGAGGAGTGTCTGCTTAGAAAGAATGGTCAGTGCTCAGTAAAAGGCGTGTTACTGGAAACCTTGGATTTCCATGTACTAGCACCTCAATATCTCTCTTAATTGCAACATTCCTTTTAACTCTCATTCCTTTTGTTCCTTTTTATGTTGATAGCTCATTGTTCTCTTAAGTCAATCATTGAATACATTTGTTAGCTTTGAAAGGGATCATAAGTCCATTTGTTTCCCTCAGTGCTGATGCCCTAAATAATACATGAAGTGCACACGTGTGAGTGCTCCTTGGTGACAGCTGCTGCCCAATACACTTGCTTCATGGTGCATGTTCATGCAATTTAATGGCATGTTGTATTGGCTCATCTGCCAATAGAGTAATCTGCAGTGTTGCTCTGTAGTTAGGTAGCCGGCACTCAGTGCCATGTGAAAGTACTGTGAAGTTTGTGCCAATGTCCCCCCCAGAATGGCTTTAAATGGAAAGAGGGACATTTAGGTTAGGTGCTAGGCGGAAGTTCTTCCCTGCGAGGGTGCTGAGGCGCTGGCACAGGGTGCCCAGAGAAGCTGTGACTGCCCCATCCCTGGCAGTGCTCAAGGCCAGGCTGGATGAGGCTTTGAACAGCCTGCTCTAGTGCAAGGTGTCCCTGCCAATGGCAGGGGGTTGGGACTGGGTGACCTTTAAGGTCTTTTCCATCCCAGCCCACTCCGCGACGCTCCGGCAGGCACCCTGGCGTCGTCCGGCCCCGGCGGCTGTCACCGCCCCGCCCGCCGCCCCGGCTGGCAGGTGAGGTGGCCGCGGCGGGAAGGGCCCGAGCGCGGCGGAGAGCGGCGCGGGTGACGCGTCCCCCCCTCGGTCCCCGCGGGTCCCTCAGCGGTGGCTGCGCGGGGCGGGAGGGGCCGTGCTCCCCTCCAGCCCCGCCCGGGGGCCGCCTTCGGGAGCAGGGCAGGGCGGGCAGGGCGAGCGGGGCGGGGGGAGCCGGGGGGAGGCTGACACCGCGGGCCTTGGCGCCGGGGCGGGGGTTTGTGTCCTCCGCACTACAGTAAAAAGGGTTACTTGGCCGGTGAGTTCCTTCTGGTTGTGTCGGTGGCGGGGAGGCGGAGGTCCTGAGGCATCGCTCTGCTGCTGCCGTAAGTGGAAGGTTCGTTCCTGTGTTTGTGTGTTTGTTTATTAGCAGAGGTCCCTCTGCGCGTTTTTGAGAATACTGAGCATGGGAAAGTGATGTTCTTGCACGGAGGATTAGTGGAGTGGATGCTTCCAGCGGTGATGATCCTTGCCTTCACATCCCTTCAGATGTTCGTCCCACGCTTGAGGCAGTGCGTGCTTCTGTGACTGCGGACCAAGCGACTCCTTTCAGTTTCTTTCTTTCAAGTCCATGAGACAGAATTGAAACTTCCTATTTTATCTGTTTGCAATTGTCTCTTTTCGGGGAAAAATGTGATACAAATGCTGGCGGTGATTTTCTTTGTGTGTGCAGCGCTAAGGCTTAGTTCTTAAAAGTTTTGCAATACATGCAGTCATTGAAGGCAGGAAAAGCTCTTTCCTAACTGCTGGCTGCTGAAGTTGTTTGATTTCACTCACATTTTCTCAAAGTGACATATCAGATTTAAATACACTGCCCCAATCCCGCTTTTGTGCCTCCTGGAAAAATACGGTTTTGTGTTATCCTTCTGTACACATCTGTCACGAGTATCACCTACCTGTGCTCATGCTTAAATTGAGGAAGCTGCAAGGAACTTCTTAGCTGTAGTGGACTGTGTTACTGGTCTTTTGAAGGTGATTGTCTAGAATAGTTGAAATCCAGATTCTAGCCTCTCTCTGTGGATTAAGACACTGGGCAAGAGAATGTTTTTATCCTTTAACAAAGCTCCATGTATTGGGCAGAAGATTAGAATGGTCAGTTCAGATTTTTCTATTAGATAGAGGCTAATCGGTAACAAGACAGGTCTCAGAAGGGATAAAACAGGGACAAAAAAGCACTTTAGGTTTCTATCATAGAGGTTGCAGTACTGAGTGTTAAAAATCTCGATTTTTCTATAATAATCAGGTAAGTCTGGTAATTTTTTGCATTATTTGGTACTTGTAGGGAACATTTTCAACTAAAAAATACTCTACTGGGAGATATCAAAACACAGCTGGTTTTAGTAGGTTCCATGGAGCCTGGTTTCACAAGGCTGTGCCAGCTAGCAGTTTTGACTAAGATGTAAAATTATTGCTCATAAAGTTTACAGTATAGGCCATAAGCAAAAGAAAAACAGGATGTATAACCTTTATGAGATGATCTGAATTAGCAGGGTGATACGGCATTTCTCTTCTGCAGGTCAATACCAAGATAGATATATTTGGAATCAGAGAATACAGAGGATGCTCATCGAGACAACAAACTCTTGGAAAGTAGAAACATAAAGACCATTTTAGATGATTGTGTCCTCTGCTGCTGAATAAAAGGGGCTAATGTTCTGTTTAGAGTAATAGGATAGGAGGTAAGTGTCTGGTAGTGATCTTACATTCCTGTAACCAGGTGTTTAGCATCCAGCCGTGAAAGGTGGTGAGGAATAGGTGAAGGTTAGGTCTGCAGAGGCTTCCCTGTCATGTTGCACATTCACTGCATTAATGCAATGGAGTGTGTAGCTCACTTTGTAGGTCTAGCTCCGACTACTCAGATATTGTGTCTGCACTTCAAGAGGGGTGTGAAATACAGGAGACCCTTCAAAAGAGAGAGAATATAAAAAAATAAAAGAAATGTAAATCCAACTTCTATAAAAGGACTTAATATATAACCTTTATGTTTATAAAGGATGAGATTAATATGGAGAAAAATATTTGATAGTGGGAGTGTAAGTAAGCTTCTAATGGTGGAGATGTAAGCTGAAATGCTGTGTAGGAGTTGTTTATGTTGCAGATTAACTCATAAAAACAAGAGCAAATGAGGTAGTAGCATTATAAATGCAAAAAGCCCTGTTGGCTGAGTCTGTAAGGAGTCTGAATTTATAATGTTTTCTGGAATATATGGTTAAATCTCTCTTTTCAGAATGGCCTGTTATGGGTACAGATAAGCTGCAGGATCACAGTCATCTTTTCTGAGTGATAAAGTACGAGAGGGAGGTTATGCTCTTTCCTTCTTGTGCCTGTTGGGAGCACAGGTTTACCTGCATTCCTGTCTGAGTTCTTGTAACACGTGCAGCAGTTAAGTGTAAAGACAGGGATTACAATTACATTCTGTGTTTTGGGGCTATAACTGATTCCCTGAACAGTTTCAGCCAGGCAAGCTTTTGTTTGCTTTCTTGTGAAACACGGTTTGGTAATGTTGTTTAAGTGGATATATGTTTTGCCCTGGAACATCTGGAACTGGTCTTAGTTTAAGAGGCAAGGCTGGACAAGGTGAAATACTGCTCTAAAGTAGCACAAAAAATCTTCTTTTGGATTTCTGACAGGTGTGTATTCTGCACAAACTTCAGGTTAAAAATACCAAGTCTGGTAGACCACGACAGTCTGACACAAAATCATCTCCCAGAGTAGACTCTTGTAGCCAAAATAGACTTTGTATTCTCTCAAATGCTGATCCTGAGAGGAAGGCTCGAAGCCCCAGCTTGGCTGTTCTTTCTCAGTGAAAGCAGAGCAAGGAATGACAGTGCCGCTATGAGAACTGCAGTTCTTTCTGGTAGTATCACCAGCATTTGTTTCTAGTGGTATTGATAGCCTAGCCTTTCTTTCAGTGAGCATTATCAAATCAGATATAGTCATGTAGTTAAAATGAGAAGAGTGACCAATATATAAAAATTAAATCTTGGTTTGTGTTTGTAACTTCAAGCCTTTCCCCTATTTTTTTTTTTTTAATTGTGAGGTCTAATACATTAATTAGCAAACAAATACTTATTTTGCAGCTTTTGCATCTAGGTGAGCATTTTAATTCTTAAAATATATTTAGAGGCTTATTTGTTATGCTCATTTAGAGAATAGTGAATTCTATCTACTAGATAAAGATTATTTTTCTGTATTGGTATCAGGTTGCATTTAGGCAAAAATTGTACTTAAATTCCTATGTACAGCATTTTCTATTAAAGTGCATTTAATATTCATATGCTACTAAGTATTAACTATGAATATTGTTCTATAACAAAACAAAAGGTTTATCAAGAAATGTTTTGCTTCTGTAACTCCAGGGTATGCTAAACAAAATAACTGTTACAAGAGGTTATTAACTGAACTGACCTTTCCTGATCACTGTCCTTCAGGATTTTAGAACAAAATTATCTTATCCTTTTGTGGCTATTTTTTTTTTTTTTTTGTATTTGGAGACTGAAAGAGGAAAACGACTTTCCTGCCTTTTCAGTTTTGAGTTGATTTGCAGCTTTTGTATTAACAAGTCATTGAACTTGATGAATACAGCCTTTATTTCTTTCATTTTTTTCCCACTATTGCATTTTTAGAACAAGGTTCTGTGGTCAAAAGTTGGCACAGCATTTTGAGAGGCTCTGCTCCATGCTGCTCCTTCAGATGTGTCCCTAAGCTTAGTGGTTTCTGTTTTCTTAATAAATATGTATTTGATTTAAGTAATTTTAGTAGATTTATGATAGTATTATGTTTTAAGTTGGGCTGTCATAATTTCACATTTAAATAGGGTTTATTTTTAAAAAGAAAATGTTTGGATCAAATCCTATTTATATGTTAAAATCTCAATTTTATTCATCCTGGTATAATGTTCAGCTGAGTATTTTTAGCTGGGTTAAGGACTTGGTTAGTTAGACTTGGTTAGGACTTCATAACTAAGGATTATGAAACCGGTGTGCTCAGATCTTTCGCTACAGTGGCTGTCATTTTTCCCATGGATGAATTTGTCAGTGTGTGATTTATAGGGATTTGAGAGCTGGGAAAAGCCTTGAGCTCTTCCTCACACCTGTTGCTTCCTCCAGTAAGTTTACACATCATTCTCTTTTCTGACCTATGTAGAGAAATCTCTTTTTTCTCTTCTGTTGCTCATTGGGACTCACTCTTGATGGAACCCTGACCAATCCTGGAAGCTGATATTTCTACACCCTGGTGTCTGGGAATGAGACTGAAGTTCATATTTGAATCATTAGCCTGGTATGTTCTCTTTCATTGAATCACAGAATGGTTTGGGTTGCAAGGGACTTTAAAGATCATCTGGTTCCAGCTGCCTTCCATGGGCAGGGACACGTCCAACTAGACCAGGTTGCTGCAAGCCCCATCCAACTTATTCTTGAACACTGCCAGGGATGGAACAGCCACAGCTTCTTTGAGAAACCTGGGCCAGCGGCTCAGCACCCTCACAGGGAAGAACTTCCTGATATCTAATCTAAATCTACCCTTTTTCAGTTTAAAGCCATGCCCCCTGGTCCTATCCCTACATGTCTCACTATATGCCTTTTCCCTCAAAGATCTGTGTAAGCACTGTTTAATTTGAATCTTGGAGTTCTGAAAACTGATTGTTATGGCTTTTCCAGTTGCATCTGTCTATAACTTCGTGGTCAGGTGTCCCAGTGGGACAGAGTGCAGGCTAGGGCTCCAGCCGTTCAGCATTGGCTGATGTCATATAGGGTAAGGCCTGTCTCTCTGTGTGGTAGCTGGCGTGGCAGAGCAGTAGCCATTGCTGCTTAAGCCTAAATAAAAGACAGCAATGGCTATTCAGTGCCTTTCTTCTCTCACAGTTGGTAGAAGACTTAGTAGGAAAGGATGCCCTGTCAGGTTCCAGCAAAGATGTTAGAAATTCACTGTGCTTATGTTTTATAAAGGCTAAAGGCATACTGCCTTTCCATTTATAGATGGACTGTGTTCTTTATTATTGGTGTAACAGCCACACAGCATGCAGAAGTATGTGTTTGTGTAGTTAAAACCAATCTTGTAATTGGATCTGACTGGAAAAAGAGTTCCTGTCCCTAAATGGGGGAGAATTAAGAAATAATCTTAAATACAGCATGGAGAAAAGTTACTTTGGGTAATTTTTTCCACTAACTTATTTAAATTTTTAGACCATAGCTCTTTCAAACAACCTAAATTTCAAAGTGAAAATGGAAAATCAGAGGTTTTGGTATTGAGCAAGCCTTGTTTCACCAACAATGTTACACAACTTTTTATCTATCTAATGAGATCTTCATTGAGATTGCCCCTTCCTGCAAGAAGTCTGGCTTTGGTAAATAATGTTTTTTTTGTTTGTTTTTAACAGCTGAAGACCACAGTTCTGTTCATGGTATTTGCTTAGACATTAGAATTTAGCTTTTATATAAGTGAAGCACTTCTGAATTTATGATGTGACTTTCACTCAGGGATGGTCTTTCAACACTTTTACATGTGCAATTGCCCAAGTAAAGAGCCCAAAAGTGATTTAGTCTCCTACCAGTATAATGACAACCATGTCAGACATGGGCAGGGTTGTAACCTGCTGTGTTACTGTCATGATACATGGTAAATAGCAGCTAGCATGTCAGATAAATGGCTGCTAATTGGTATTGGAGAAAGTGGAAGGAGGTGCAACATAGCATCAGGACTGAACTAAACTAACAGCTCACAGCTGGGAAGAAAACGTGATGGAGGTCTCTCTCCCCCCATCCTCTCCTGTATTTCTCCACTTTCGGCAAGTGGAAGTGACTTACTGTGTGATGCACATTAGAGGAGCAAAAGGAAGGAGAAAAGGTAGGTATGGTTATGGGATGAGGACTGCTCACTGAGTGTGCATGGAATCTTTGGCTGTTTAAGGTTTCTGGTGAGCATGTGGAAGTAGAATTTTTCAAGGGCTTGTAACTTGCATGCCAGATTTGCCATGCTTGATCTTCTGGTGCTATGCTCTGATGTGGTGGAAAATGCGACGGCATGTGCTGGTTTTGGCACATGCATAATTAAAACAGTGTTTTTTATGATTTCCCAGTGCTTCTGAGTTCCAATTCCTGGCTAAAATAGTGTGTGGGATTGTTGGATCTAGTCAAAGGAATATGATAAAAAAAGTACTTTCATTATTCTTAGAAACAGCTGAACTATTTCGGCTGAAATGCAGCTTCTGTTTCATGTCCTCTCAAAAATAGTGAACCAGCATATGCAGAACATCAGCAGAAACTGCTAGAGATTTGCCAAGTTGTAAGCAAAGACAAACAGTGGGAAGTGATAAACTTAACAGGCTTTTCCTTTTTATTTTTTTTTACTTTTTAAAAATTTTTTAACTTTTTTAATAATGTTTAGCAGATTGTTCTTCATCTCCCTCCCAGATTTTTTGCACCTTTCTATGCTCTAACCAGAGTCATGGTTCTGCTTGTGCTGTCTCTTTGCTTTTCTGACAACCCTCAGAAAAGATCTATACAATAATTTAATTTCCAGAAGGAGAGCAGCTGCTCCCAGATAAAGTCATGTCTGTGGCAAATCATAGTTGCTTTTTCTTTTTTTTTTCAGTGGATTGTCTACTGAAATGGTCTGTCAATTTTATTAGAAATGTTTTGTAAATTGATTTTTTCCTGGGCTGTAAAAAATCAATGACCCATTAGCTGATTTTGTTTTTTTTTTTTTTCTTTTTTTTTTTCCGTAGTCCATGAAGTAGAAAAGCTGTTAGCACTTACAGTAGTGTAATCATGTTCAGTATTGACAGCTGCTCTGTGGTGACATTGCTTTTCTCTCTTTTTGCTCAATTCTTTTATAGTGGCATATATTTGAAATTATGCTGCTGCCTGTATGAACAGGAAAACTGGAAACAACTGGAAGCAGTTGTTTCTTGACATTCTGTTATCTAATCTATGTCAGCTTTTTACTGTTTTTTGTTAGTGTGTAGCTCTGTTCAGTGAATCTAAGGAAGGAGTCAGTCACTAGGGGAAATGCTTTAGTCACGACCATAACATGTAAGCCTTGTATTCCCATGGTAGATGCAGACAAGTGGAAAATCTCTGTTTTGAACTACTGGTTTTGTTTCACAAGGTCTTTACAATACTGAATACTCAGTGAGCTTTTATTACGTGTTGATAGCAGTTAAGCCTATGGAAAAAAAAGAATAGTGCTTTGTTATTTATATTAAATACATTAAGCTCTTTCCTTTAAACAGTTACATACACGCTGATCTTTACATGCAACACAGAAGATTTGGTCTTCTCATGAATGAATATATGCTCCGAGATTAAAGCCATATTTATAGAGCTATTGTAAAAACATTTTAGTTGACTAATATGATTATTTACTTTTTTAAGTTTTAAAAGAAGTGCTTATGCCAGTGTAGCATTTGTAGTGCTCTTGGTTATTTTGCTTGCTTTTGTTGCTGCTGGTAATTATCTTTGAGGTGTGTTGGTTTTCTTAACTACTAGTTTCCCAGCTAATAAAGTACTGGCTACCTCAGCGTTTACCACAGCTGTATAGAAACCATTGGTGTGTATTCCTGTGAAGCTGGCAAAGCCTTTTTTAGGTTCATAATTACGACTTCTCTTTGGTTTTGAATGGAAAGTACTTTTCTTACAGCCATTGCTTTGGGACTGATTTTTTCACTTTGATATCTTTCTTAAATATAATAATTGCATTCTTTAGTGCTTACAAAATATACTCCTAGCTTTAACAGAGCGCAACTTCTAGTATGTCATCAGCATTGCTATGGACTATATTTATTCTGAAATTTTAAAATAGTTTAGGATTTTAAAATCTGCATCTGTTTTTAGTTCTGCACCTTGTGCAGAATACTGGAACAATTTCTTAAGGTTCTTTGTATTTATTGCCATCAAAAGTGTAATTTGTCTTTATGGCATTGAGAACAAGAACTTACCCTAGGTAAAGCTGCAATATGTTCTCTTTTGTAATTGCTTTCTTTCTTGCTGTGGTACACATCTTGTCACAGATGAATTTGAGGAGTGTGTCACTGGGCAAACTCCTCTTTCGTTTATCTTTTTATCCCATGTGTCCTTTTGATTTTTTTTCTTCTGTTTTGCACTGTCATAACCTTAAAGTTTATCAAACGGTTCCTGAGAGAGTCTGAAAGCAATATTTAAGATGAGTTCTGGCAGAAACTGAGCACAAAACAATTTTTTTTTTGTCAAGGCTTTCTCTTTTAGGTTACCATAAGTCTTTATCTGGTAGCAAAACCAGGAAGTTTTTGTGCAAGGGACCATAAAGTGAAGTTCACCATAGAGTAAACCCCTTCTGCCTACATCCCACCTATAGATCTGTGTCCCAAACAGTGACCTGGTGCATACCCACTTCCTAGCATTGTCTGAACCTGTCCTACCTTGTTTGGTCTGAAAGCTGCTTGTGTGCCTGTTCTAGGGAGATAGCACTTGCTTCCTCCCTAGAGTCCCCCTGAGATACAGGTTTGCATGGAGAACTGAAACCCCCGCAGCTCCTCAAGTGAATCTGAAATCCTAATGTGAAACAGGGACCCTAACAGACTGCAGCAATAGTAATGTCTGCTTTTGCTATGAGCATGATAGAGCTACTTGTCCAGTAAGTAGGAATATTGGACCCTAGGCCCTCATCTGCTAAAGGGGATCTGGAACCTGTATTTTCCACAGGCAGATCTTGTAATTACTTGCCAAAGGGGTAATCTGGGTTGCAATACATTCTGCCCTTCATGTTGGAGTTGGGCCACTTTGCAGACAGGAATTGTTAGAGACAAGCTGGGCTGGATGAGCAGAGAGTGAGGTGGGTTGAAAACTGGCTGAACAAATGGGCCGGGAAGGGCAGTTATCAGTGACACAGTCTGGTTGGAGTCCAATGACTAGTGGTGTATCCCAGGGGTCAGCACTAGATCCAGTCCTGTTTATCATCATCACTAATGATCTGGATGATAGAGCATGCCCTCAGCAAGATTGCTGATGACACGGAACTGGGAGGGGTGGCTGGTATGCCCAGTGTTGTGCTGCCATCCAGAGGGACCTCAGCAAGCTGGAGAAATGGGCTGCCAGGAACCTTATCAAAGAGAACTACCAAACCCAGCACCTGGGGAGGAACAACCTCAAACACCAGTCTGTAGGAGGGCAGCTTTGCCCTGGGAGTCCTGGTGGACAGCGGGTAGAATATGAGCCAGTGATGTGCCCTTGTGGCAAAGAAAGCTAGTGGTATCCTGGGCTGCAGCAGTAGGAGTGTAACCAGCAGGTAAACAGAGGTTCCCATCTGCTCAGCAGTGGTGAGGCCATAGTTGGAGTACTGTGTCCAGATGTGGGCTCCCTGGTGCAAGAGAGGGACATACTAGAGAGAGTCCAATGAACAGCCACAATGATGATTAAGGGACTGGAGCATCTGTCATATTGCAAAAAGGCTGAGGGAGCTGGGACCATTCAGCAAGAATGAGAAGGATCAGGGGGATCTCATTAATGGCTGAAGGGAGGGTGCAAAGAGGTGACAGCCAGGCTCTTTCTACTGACGCCCAGTGGCAGAGCAATAGGCAGTGGGCATGTACTGAAACACAGAAGGTTCTGTCTAATCATCAGGAAACACATTTTCACTGTGAGGGTGACTGAGCATGGGAGCAGGTGGACCAGAGGGTTTGTGGACTTCCCATCCTTGGAGATCTTCAAAAGCCATCTGGACATGTTCCTGGGCAACTGGCTGTGGGTGGCTGTGCATGGAGAGAGTGGCTGGACCAGATGACCTCCAGAGGTCCTTTCCAATCGTCAATCACTCTGTGATTGATTGAATGATGACAGCAGTGCTTAGGGCAAGGGGAAATGTTTGGCTGCTGTCATTTTCACCCTAGGACTCTAGATTAAGCTCTTCCTTCAGAAGAAATAATTCTATTTTGTGTTTTTCCTTCTTCCCCAGAGTTTTGTGGGTTTTTTGGCTGCACAGCAGTTCAGCTTCAAAGAATAAGCCAAAGAGAGGTGCCTTCCCTTGTCTTTGCAGAGTGTTCCTGAAGTCCAGTGCTTGGGACACTTAGCTGGGATAAAAATGTGCATTCACCCTCTCTTGGGTGGCTGATGACTGGACCTGTTGCCCGCTTCCTGAACAATTATTTTAGTGGGTGGTGATGCACAAGAGATAAGAATCAATCCTTCTTCTGCAACAGCCTTCCTTTTTTGAAGAGTTCACTCTGCTAAGCGACTGCTCAGGAGATGGGTAGGCAGGCTGGATTTCAAGTAGATGTAGATGTATTTCTTACCAATTCTTTACATGGTCCTTGGAAGGCACATTACTTTGGTGGATTGGATTGCCCTCAGAAGGATTTCAGGTGTAGTTGCCTCTCTTTGTATACCAAATGTATATGCTGATCTGAGGAGAATTGCATCAAACTTCTCCCATCATGCAAGAAAGTAATAGACAAAGCAATACTTGACTTGAATGTATGTGAGAAATGCTGAATAGCATTGCTAACTCATAGAAATGCTAACAAAGTATTAGGGGGCACCCTTAATTCAAGTATATTATTTTTGTTTTATGACAGCATTTCCTGCCCATAGTTACTGAAAAGGAAATGTTCAGCTGTGTGATTTTGATGTTCGTCCTGCTCTGCAGCTCTATAGCAGGTATGTTACTTGACCTGCCTTGCCATAAGAAAATTTTCCAAAAGTTGACCTTCTCCACATGAAATTTCAAAGAATTCTGAAAAAAAAAGAAAAAAGTATTTTAAAAATAGAAGTTGGTAGGTGATTGGCTTAGTAGTGTACAGTATGTAGAGAAAGATTTATTTATGGTAGTCTTTATGCTTGTGGAATGTTAATTGTGGCCATGATAGCCTGTGTTTGTTCTCTTTTGTATTTAAAGTATTAAAAAAAAGTATTACCTATACAGAGATTCATGCAATTACTACTAATGATCTCATTCCTGATCTAAAAAGTCACCTAACAATGTGTGACTATTGTTCAGGTTTTTTTATGTGATAGTTCCATAGCCAGTTTAAGCTGACACAGGTAACTGCTGAAGTTGGAAGATCAGGTAGTTCCACACTCTCTTTGGCTCTCATATTACTCTCCTTCTGCTGGAGTGCATGTTTGTGTGGCTAGTTGTGAACAATCTGATCTAGATGGGATAGAAATGTCATTCTTAAATAGTGCCTATGGTAATATAGTAATTAATATGCACTAACTTTCCAAACAGCGATATCTGATTCAAATGACTGAGCATTTTATTTGAACCCCATATAGAAAAAAACCTAATTAAGTGATCTGTAGACAACAAAGTAAGTTATCTTTTTTTTCCACTGGTATTTTAAAAGAAATTAGGTTATGTGATTTCTTCGATTTTGCTTTTAGATGAAAACTCTGTCGGAGATGCTGACATTTTCCCTTCAGCTCCTGAAATTGAAAGAGGATCCACCCTGAAACTATTTTGTGTACTCGGAAAGCACTACACACCTCACAGAAATGCAAGCCATATCATCTGGAAACTGAATCATGAATTGATCACTGAGGAAAACTATAACATTGTGAACGAGACTGTGTCTAGTGTAACCATCCATAATTTCACTTACAGCAAAGCTCATGTGAAATGTTTCATTAAGTACTTGGGCAAGGAACAGCTTTTGGTTCACACGGAAGTTAAATCTGGCTGTAAGTAGAAAGGCCAAAAAATTAATTTTAACATTTTTTAAAATAACTTGCTGTAAAAATTTTAAAGTAACTACTTCTTTTTTTTTTAAGCTTGTGGTGTTGTAAGACACGTGTTCAAGTATCTCCTTTTTTTCTGAAATAAAGCATGAAATTTCAGGCATTCCTTACTCACTGTGGTCCATAACCTCTCTGACCCTGACTTCTGGCCAGCTGAAGTGAGTGAAGGTTTTCTGTGATTTCAGATGGTACCAAGTGTTCCCCTTTGGCTATGTCTTTTGTCTGGTTTAGCCAATGTTAGATTTCTCTGGAAAGTATTTCCTCTTTAATCATCTGTTCCGAAACAATTGTAATTATCATCTCTGATGGAGAAAGCTACAGGATAAATACGTATACGAATTCTCTAGTTTATTGAACAGATTAAGTCCAGATTATATTAATTTATATCTGGGGATCCCATTCTAGTAAAGAAGCAATAAATGCAGATAAATAGATCTGTGGCATAAAACCCAGCAGAAGGTATTACATGTCTGCAAAGTTAGGTGTGCCGTAAGTTCGACAATAAAAGAAAGGTCTTTTCAGTCTTGTATTAGGTGGGATAGAAAAGTACTGTTTTGGAGAGAGGGCTTTTTCAACCCATTTATTTCACTGGGTGGCGTTCTCTTCCTTTCAATTCCAGTTTCTTCTATTGAGTGAAGGAATCTGCCTTTAACAAAGGAGTCTTTGAAGGTGTTAATTTTTTATGGATGACTTCAGACTATAGAGATCAGGGAGGATTATTTTCTTTGTTCTATCTTGTTTATAAAATAAAGAGAGTCCAGAATTAGTACTCTATTCAAGGTCATACAGATATGTTGGGCAGCAAATTGTCTTCTGCACTCTGAGATTGTGCAGGCTTCTCAGACTAGGGGTTTTCATAGGGTATGTGGTAAGTGATTCTGGGAAGAAACCAAGAGGAGTTTTACCTCTCAGAGAATGGCTTTTCCTCAGCTTGTGTTTGTTTTCCTTGTACTCACTGGACTGGCCTTAAACTACAGGTTCAGGACAATGTGCGTAGTGGTTAGATATAAGACAGTTAATGAGTTACTGTGAAAATACCTTCAGCCCCACTTAGTTAAGTACTTCTAAGAAGTAGATGAAGAGAATCTTCTTGTCTCACAGGGGAAGAATGGTTTCGATTTTAATTTTGTAACAAGTTCTGAAGGCAGTAAAAAAAATTATAAAATGAGATGCTATGCAAGACTATTTGTGAAGTGTGCCATAATCTGCTTTTTCACCAACAAAATCAGTTACACTCTAAAGTCACTTATTTTTACTAGATTTTTTTTTATTATTATTATTTTAAATCTTTATCATTGTAGTTTCACCAGACACACCAGGAAATATTTCCTGCATTTATTACTTTGATGTTGAACTTACCTGTACCTGGACTTCAGGAAGAGAAACTAATCTTAGGACAAACTATACTCTTTACCGAAAATTGTAAGTATAAGATGTGTTGGGAACTGGGTTGCTGGGGTGAGACCTCCAGCTCCCTTCCCCTCACATCCTGATTTCTGTGAAAAAAAACCCTGGAAACCTAGACTCATTTAGGTTCAGAATCATGATATTTACTCAGTAAATTCAATTAATTTGGGAATGGTATTGGTTGGAAATAGTTGCAGTCTAAACCAGTATTCAGTAGACAAATGTTTACTTTAGAATCAATGTTCACTTATTTCCTTGAAGTAACGTTACTGATTAGATCAAAAGCCGAGTGAGCCTAGGCATAAATGGCGAATGGACGCACTTTTGTTGAAAGTGTTACTGAGGAACTTTCTGTGTAACTAACTATCCTCATTTTGGATGGGTAAAAAGATTAAAGCCCATGTCAATTCTGCTTGACACTAGTAGGGTTTAACCTAGGGACCTCCGAAGTTGTAATGTTTCAGTGAAAGAATCCAGAATTAGTTGTCATTTTTAGATTGCTCCCATCTGGGGATTTGTGTTTACAAATACAAATTTTGTAGTCTCTTGCTGGTTTGTGACCTCATTTTAGAAACATAAATACTTGATTCTTTCATTTACCATTACATTTTAAATACTTTTTAGGACCTTACTTTTTCGTAAGCTACTGTGAATGTAGAGATCAGTGTTGTTTATTTTTCTTTTTTTCTTTTTTTTAGGATGACAGAAGGAAGTGTGACTCGTCCAAGTACAGTGGGCTTCTGTGAAAGCAAAATGGAGTCATGTTCATTTTATTATCCAGATACTCCGTATAGTAGTTCTTTTTGTTTTCAGGTGAAAGCTGAGAATGTTTTGGGTGAAGCCTCATCAGGTTGTGTTCCTATACCTATGGAAAAAATAGGTAATCCAAAAAAAAAGTTAAATAAAGCAGTATATGTCGAGCTGTCTGCACCCTCTGCAGTTCTTTTGCCTTTAGTATACAGATGAGAGAGCTCTGAAACAAATTGTGTAATCAAAGAAGAAAATAATGAAAAAAAAATTCAGTATACTAGTTTTGAAACTATGATTCTGGTTTCATTAGGTTTTAAATTGGTTTCAGTTTTGAAGTGCTATGTAATTTTAATTCTTATCTAAAAGCATGAAGTCTCTGAAATTACATTTAGGGTTTAATAAAATGCTTCATCCTTCCCAAATTTTTTTCATCCCAATTTGAATGCTTAGAATTTAGTTGAATTGAGTCTCTTGTTATGTTTCTTTTTATGCCTTTCCATGTACAATTTTTGATCTGGTTAGTGGTACAGCAGCAGTTTTCCACAATTTCTTGGTCTTACTCAGAGGTGGTTAAAATGATAGTGTGGTGTATTCATACCATGAACCATCTAACTATATTTTTATTAAGCTGATGTCTTAATAGGATGTATGTTACTGCGATAATGATCAAATACAAATAGATGGAGCAATTCTGAACTCTTTAGAAGTGTTTTTCCCTGTTAATGTTTTTGTTTCTCCATTCTAGAGAAATTTGAACCTCCTGAAATACTTTCAGTTAAAAAAATCACTGGTATAAAGCAGTTGCTTACAGTAACCTGGAAAATGCCTGAGAAGATTATCCCTTCACAAGATTTAGTTTGCCAAGTTCAATACAGAAACTTATATTCAAACTCTTTGGTAAGCTACATTACTTTCCTTCTGAATGTTAGCTTCTTTGTGACTAATTAATGTTATAAAAGGGTAAATAGAAGAAAGGACACAACTAGTTGGAAATAACAATTAAAACCTTGTTATTTTAACAAGGTCATTGTTTTGTTGTTTAGGATGAATTGTTCTCTCTTCCTTTTGGTCAGTGTCTGTTTTGGTACATATGATACTTCTGAATATATTTCTGTGAAAGACTGAGGGATTACCTTATGCTAAAGGATTACACACACAGCCAAAATATTTTGTTTTCCTGTCACATTCTGGTGTTGAAAACAGCATTTACTCCCAACCACAACAGTTGAATCAGATTGACATGCAGCAATAATACATTAATTTTTAATTACTTTAATTCATAATACATGAATTAAAGTATTATTTTGCAAGATAGAAAATAAGGGAAGTTATTTTTCTGAGTTTGTCTTTCTTACGGTTAAATGTAACTGCTGTAGGAAAAAACAGTAATCATTTGCTTCTTTGAGATAGCCTATTCCAATGCTCTTCACTATGCAAGTGATTCAGTTTGCAGTCTTACTGTTTCCTCTTCCAAAACTAAGAACAGGCCAGGTTGCTTGTTTTTTAGGGCTGAGATGTCTGCCTTGACCTTACTATTTTATACATTAGATGTGTAATTCTGGGAGAGAGGAATCATGAGGGTAACTAATACTAGTCTTCAGAATTCTAAAAGAGTTCCTGATACTGAAGATGTTTTTAATTAGCATCCTTCTCACGTTCTTGTGGCATTAAAGTGTCTTCAATGTAGAGATGACATAGTAGTTGTTTGATCCAGGTTATAATATTCAGGATGATCTGATGGGCAGGAAGGCTCAGGTCCACCTGGGATATTAGAAACTGAACTAATACTTATTTAAAAGACCTTTTCAAGATGTTTATCCCTTTGGAGTCAGGACACTGGTGTTCTTCTGATACTTACATGCATATGGGATCCTTCCCAAATGTTGAAAACATTCATATTTTTTGTGAAGTTACAGTAACATTGTGTATTGTATCTTTGTCATCACCTGTATAAGAAAACACCTGTCTACTTTTTCTCCATCAAATACAGTCTACATCCGTTTTCTTCCTCAGAACTTACCTGTGATTTTTCCACAGACATTCTAGAGAGAAAATAGTAGCAGCGACTAATAACAACAAAAATTCAGTGAGTTTAGTTCTGCAGGATCTTAGACAGGCATGATTCATAGTTTTGAGATGTGAGTGGATTCCTTTTAAAATGAAGAAATTACCTTGTCATCACTTTTCCAAGAAAATATTCTTGGGATATTTCTGGTATTCTTATCTTCCTTCACCATTTAAAGACTCCATCTGTTTTTTTTTTTTTCTCTTGGTACCAGAATTTTCTGTGTTTCCATTGGTCTTTTTGTTTTAATCATATGCTGGTAATCTTTGGGGTGGGCTACAGCCACACTGTTATATGGTTAAGACCTAGAAACCCTGTAGCCCAGAAAAGAAGATCAAGAAACAAGTACCTAGCTGGCTCACAAGCTGCAGGTGATCACTGCTTCCCCAGGGATGCTTCTGCTGGTTCCTGGAGCTGTGTCGGGATGGTATGGTGATCCTGGCCTTAGCAGTACCCAGTTGCTTCCCAGCAGTGGGAAATGCAATCATCCAGCACTTCCTGTGCCAGCACAGCTGCTCTAGAATCATGTGTGAGCTGCACACAGTTCATGCCATCGGTCGGTGAGTACAGACGTAGTTATGGCTCAAGTTTTTCAAACCCTGGAGTTTTACAGGGTGAATGGATGTACACAGAAAAACGAAATGTGAAACAAGTAATGTTGAATTTCAGAGGAGTGAGGTGGAAACATGAAAACTGTATCCTTTGTGGTTTGTTTTTTAAAACTATGTCATATATCTGCATGCAATTGTATAGCAAATAACTTCTGTTCATGTACCTTCAGGAATTTATCACTGTCCCACTGAATTCTGCAGCGAAAATAGGATCATGTAATCTCACAGGTCTGTGGGACTCCACAGAATATTCAGTTGCCATTCGGTGTATCAGTGCTGTGTCAATATTCTGGAGTGAATGGAGTAGAGGGAAAAGAGCAAACACAGAAGAGAAAGGTAACCTAACTATTTCCTAAGCTTTTCTTTGCTTATACTTCAGGGTATTAGGATTTAATAACGGAAAACTGTATTTTTAGCATATTATGTCTGTTGAAGATAGAATTCTGTTTTTAAAGAGAACATGCGTTTTATTTAAATACAGAAGGACAAAAACAATTTGTGGAGGAGATTAACAAATTGATACACACAACATGACGAAGAAAATGAGTGAATAGTCGTTGAAGATGAGAGGAATGAAGTGTAAATGGAGACTGAACATTGCTAGGTAGGATAGTAACAGAAATGCAGTGTAGCAGGTATGTCTGAGAAAAAGAGTTATAAGTAGAGAAATTAAATTGCCAGTTATAAAACACACCTAGAAATTTTCCTATAGAACTTAAGAAATAAAAGAAAGCAGAAGGAAACGTATTGAAAGAGGGAGGCTGTAGTAATTAGAGAATTAAGGCACAGCAAAAGGCACATTACCCAAGGGAAAAGTTTTTACTAAGTTACTCTCGGATTGCAGTTTTGAAACCTTTTTTATTGTTTCTGCTATGTTACAGTATCTTTTAAATATAATAACAAATGTCAAGATATTTTTATGTCTTTAAATAGCTCCTTCAGAAAAAGTGGATTTGTGGAGGGTAATTGAGTCTTCACACCCAGCTGGAAGTAGATCTGTACATCTTATGTGGAAGGTATATACTCTTTCTGTGAACTGGTAATCGTATTGCTATCCTGCAACCAATGTTAGAATCATAGAATGGTTTGGATTGAACAGGACCTTAAGATCATCAATTTCCAATCCCCCTGCTATGGGCAGGGACACCTCACACTAAACCGTGTCACCCAAGGCTCTGTCCAACCTGGCCTTGAATGCTGCCAGGGATGGAGCATTTACCACCTCCTTGAGCAACACATTCCTGTGCCTCACCACCCTTAAAGGACGTCTTCCTTATATCCAGTCTAAACTTCCCCTGTTTAAGCTTTAACCCGTTACCCCTTGTCCTATCACTACAGTCCCTGATGAAGAAGTTTCTCATCGACCAACACCCCCAAGCCCTTCATGTTGTGTTGAAGTATTTAGTGTTGTAGGACATGTAGCTGCCATGGGGTTTTGCTGTTGTTGGGGAAAAAGCCTCACTGAACTGAATCAGAATGGAAAAGACTTTTTTTTTTTTTTCCTTTATTAAACAGTAGATAAATAGAGTTTTGTGCTCTGTGCAGAAAGGAAGGGTTTAATTTTGTTCAGATCACTGGAAATCTGATTGAAATTCCTTGCAACTGCACTTAAATAGTACAGCTTACCAAAGCTGTGTTTACGTTAACTTTAGTAGAGTGACCAGAGGCTCTTTGTGTTTCTAATCTCAGTATTTGACTTCTGAACCTTTCCTTCAATGAAGTTGTTACAGCTCATTGTCCTGAAAATGGGACTTAAGAAAGTATCTTTCTTTTCTAAATATTTAAATATTCTAAATCATTTTGTAATTGGATCTTTAATACAGTATATACTTTTGATTATACAAATAACACTGTGAAATACTTACTACTGAATGTTTTTGTAATAGCCATTAAACAGCTTTCCACCTTCTGGGAGAATTCTAGGCTACAAAATACAGTATTTTCCAGAAAGCAATGCTACCCTTAAAATGACCAACATCTCTACCAATGAGAAGATGATTTTACTTTTAAATGAAGAGGCATATATAATATCTGTTACTGTCTATAACTCTGCTGGAAATTCTCCTGAAGCTGTTTTGAGGATTCCATCCACTGATGAAAGACGTAAGATTTCTCAGTGTTTTAATACTTTTTTCTCATTAACAAAAAAAAATAATAAAATTCTTCCTGACATCTGTTTAAGTTCTGTTGTAGTGGAAGCAAAGTTGTGCTAGGGACTTTTGTCTCATATATACATATGTATGCACATGTATATGTATGCATATGAATATGTATATATGTAGTATTTGCAAAGCTGTGTAGTCCGGTACTTTTTAGTAGAACAATATTATCTGGTTGTCTTATTTTGCTATTGCATATCATGCTTTTGTTGTAGGTGATTATTGTTAGGGATTTTTGCTTTGAGATGAAGTTGTTAAGATACTAGCACTTTCTGATATCTTATTAGAATTTCTATTTTATTACTTTCTGAGGGTTTTTTGTTTTGTTTTGATTTGTTTTTTTAGCCTTGGGTCTCCAAATGAATTTATAGAGTCCCACTTAATTCTGTCTCATCCCTCTACTAGGTCACAAAATTGGTTACCACAGGGCATTATAGAAGTGCATTTAACATCATTCAAAGATGCGTTTAATACAAGTCCTAAGATATGTCAGTGGAAGCAGGGAGAGAAACACTGTGTTTATTCTCATTTCCTGTGCATTCCCAAAATTCTTCATCCCACCTACTGCCACGGTCAGGAAGCTGGTTTGCTCTAGCACAACAGTTGTGTTCTTTGGCTTTTATGTTTAATTCTAATATCTCTGAGCCTTGTGTTGCAACATCTTTCTGCCTACCCATGATCCCAAAGAGAGGCTCTCCTACACTGCTCACGTGTCAGTTGTTCATGAAATAAATGCAAGTGTTTCCCTGGAACTGCTTAGTCAAATTTCACTTCTAATCAGAAAACTGGATATGTAGATGTGAAGTCATCTTGTTGCGGAGCTGGCTGGCTACATCTGTGTACACTTATGTGTTCCACAATAAGTGTTTTCCTGATTTTTCCGTGCTGTGACATGCCTTTTTTTTTCCTTGCATACATTTATTTTCCTTCTACTTCACCAAGTCTTTTTTGCCGGGTTGGGTTTTCACTCAGACTCCATTACCTCTATTCTGCAGTTTTGCTTCACTGTCATTCATGACGTTGCTGACTTGATTTCCTGTTTTGCTATTGCCTTTGTAATCTCAAACAAAACTTGCTTATCATCATTACCTGTAAAATTGGTTTGTGAAACTTTACAGTCTGTGAAATTTAGATCCTTAAAGAAATACTAGTCTTTGATTCTGTATGTGTAAATCTCCTTGAGTATCATGTTTTCAATTTCCCCTCCCCTTTTTCATTGTAATAATTCATATATGCTTAATTTTAAAGTGTTTTGAGTACTTGTATGTTAACACAGGTATAAAGTAACTTTAAAATGTCTTTTTTAACAAAACCTTGACTAAGTCCCATACTCTTCTAAAGGAGCAATCTCAGCTTGCTGTGAGTACTTTTCTTGCTGCAGTTTTTATGACAATAGAATTGATGACACTTTCTGTTAAACTTTTAGCTTCTCAGATGATTGAAACAGTGAGGACCTTTACGACAAGTGAAGAATTGGTTGTGAAATGGGTAGCCTTCAAACCAGAAGTAACTGAATATGTAGTGGAGTGGTATGAGGAACTGGAGACAGATCCTTTCAGTAGATCATGGCAATATGTATCAAATTCTACAGAATGGAAAACTAACAAAAGTATGTTCATTTATCAGTTGCAGCTGTAATAATGCACAGATAGATATGTATTTATGTGTATTTATTTATAAGTAGACCAGAAAGAACAAACCGTTTTAAAAAACAGTATTATTACATGCTTTATTAAAATCTTTGCATATTATTTATGCGAATTTTAACTTTCTTAAATTTCCATGTGGTATGCAAGATGGTGTTTTCAAAGTTTTCAGAAAATAAGTACCCTGCCTTTTCTAAAGTGTAAAGGAACACTCTTTTTATTAATTATAATGATGATGAGCTTGCCCATGAAATTTTGTCTTACAGACTTAGACAACAGTGATTTAAATACTGTTTTTATGCTACAGTAAAACAAATCAAACAAAAATCCGCTTGAAGCAAATTCAACAGCAGTTAATTACACATTGAACTGAGATGGGCTAGTTGAGTCATATGCTGAGAAGTGTGCAATTCAGCAATTTACTGTGAGGAGTAAACACTGTTTATGGCTGTTCTCAATATATAAAACCCCCAGCTTTCCTCCTCAGCATTATTAGGAGATCTTTGTTTACCCTAAGCACAAGTCACATTAGAAATTTCAAGGCAAATTCAGATTACTCTTAATCAGGCCTAGTTCTGGCATTCTTTTGTAAAATTATCTTAAGGATGATATGCGGGCCATCATAGCTTCTGCTGGGCTGTAATAGGTATCAGGGACTGAAAAAGTATCAGCGAATTGATACAATGCAGGCATCTGTTGATAGCTGTATTCTCACTGAACAAGTTGCAGAGCTTGAGGATGAACAGTTTAGGAAATCCTTTACACTATCATCCCATGGGGTGTAATGCTGCAGATGTGTCCTCTCAGAGTTGATGAGAGTTTCTTGTAAGTAGGGTTGCACTCTGTCAATTACTTGGCTGCTGGATTGTTCAGAGTTCAAAACTTCATTTCCAGAAGCTCAAACTATGTCTTGAAATATATAAAACATATAAAATTATACAGCAGACATTTCACTTGTACAATTGTACTTCTGAGTCAAGCTGCTTAGAGGCATATCTGCGGTTGGCATAACTGGAACATCAACGTAGAGTTAAGAGCTCGGGCTCCATTGTGCCTTTTTTAGCTGTTTGATGCATGAGACAAAACTTTACTCTGCAAAGCAGTTAACTTAAATATATGTGAAATTAAAAATACGCCTGGAAGCATCATTTTATACTGGTTATTTGAAAAGAAAAAACATCCAAAACCTTAGACTGTTACAAGATAACTTTGCTTCCTATAGAGAAGCTGAATAATGCTGGAGTATAATTACTCATTCAAATTTTTAGTTGAAAAATGAGTCAGAAACCAAGTGCTCTTATGAATACTACTAAATAAAATTCTGTTAAGGACAGTAATGGGCACTTTAGGCAATAAATATGCATTGTGCTTGCTAAAATGTTGAAGGAAAATAGAGGTCTGTAACAATGTATTTAGAACTGTGCTGTAATTTACTCTGTTCATTGTGTTAATCTTGCACAGAGAACTGTATTTCAACATTCCTTCTTTTTGTTTACAGAAAACTTTAAACCATTTGTATGCTATAACATCTCAGTGTATCCTCTCTATGGAAATAAAGTAGCAGCTCCATATTCCATACAAACTTACATTCAACAGAAGAGTATGTATTTTAAACTAATAATGTTGTGAAATGTGTGTTCTGGTCTGTTTCTCGGGGTGTATTATCTTTGAGTAATTTGGAACTGGCCTTACTGAAGGAGAGATACAGATGCTGAAAAAAAGCCAGGAATCAGGCTTCCTGATTTCTGTTCATAGATCAGCTACTGAATTGTTCAGTAAAACACATGTATCTTGTGATACTCATGCTGCTTGCAATCCACTCATTTGTTGTAAAGTTCACATACTGTATACAAAGCACTTGGAAACATTTTAAACTGGCTATCTCTTAAATATTACAGATTATTTAGGTATATAATTAGACTTGATTTTAATGCTTGGCTGCATTTATCAGTCCTAATATATGATGCAGTTCTACTCATGGAATAAAATGATCGTTTGAAAAGCTTGCTTTAAAAAAAAACAACAAAACCAAAATACTTATAGTTCTGCACATAAAACTTGGTAAGAAGCCATGATGTTTGCAGTTTGGGTAGAAACTCTGAATGATTGTGTGTGCGGAAGGCTTCTTTATTTGTAAAAGTTTAATGTGAATTCAGTGATTTATACAGCCAGTAGTAAGAATGTAGTTTACTGGTAATTTTAAGATTTCAGGTGAAAATGTCAATTTCTGTTCATGTGCATATATAGGTCTGTGTAAGTGTGCATGCATACATAGTACAAGGCACCCCTAAAAGGCGTTAATTACTAGGAGAAGGTAATAGAGTATTTCATGCTTGATTAGAACTATGTTTTAAGTGCTTTCCTGTGTATAGGGACCTGTGACATTACTAAAGGTTGTCAGAGAATGGAAAGGAAGGTACTTGTTTTAAAACTGAAGGACAGAGAACTCTTGCTTTGAAGTTACAAGCAATGCGTGAGGCTGTATTGTATAAGTAGACTTCGTCTAATGTAATGGACAAAAACTGGGGGTGCTGGACATCTCAGCTGAATCTCAGCTCAGCCAGAGACATCTTGTGTGCATAGTGACCTTGCAATTGAGTTCCTTCTGAGTGCATAAGGATGTTTTACTTCTTGATCAGTCTGTGATGTTGTGAGGATAGAGCCTTTTAATGGTCTCAAGGTATTCAGATGCAGTAACACTGAGAACTATGCAAACGCTAGGACAGATGAAAAGAAGTATTATCAGAAAAAAATCACACATTAAAGAAGATGAAAAAAGTTAAGGGCTATATCAGATCGTTAAGATGACACATTTAATTGTACATGGGTTGCTGCTAATGTTACTGGTATGTGTGAAATAACACAGATGGATAACACTGTAGTACTTAGGCTATTTTACTACTGAGTGTTTTTAATCTGTAATGCTTCTGTGTAGAGCCATCAGAAGGACCTGTGGCTGACACAGGCATTCCAGGCAAAAATGAAGTTACAATAAAATGGAACGAGATTTCAAAGGATAAAAGAAATGGATTTATCAGTAACTATACAATATTTTATAAACCTGAAGATGGAAAAGAATTGAGTAAGTATACATTAAGCACCAATTCTTTCAACAGGGTTATGACAGTCTGCTGTCTGAAGATAGTTATTTTCATAGTTATTAGCACACTTTCTTATTGCATGTTATAAATATGTCTGAAAATACTGGTATTAAAATGTGGCTTACATAAAGGCTAATTTATTTTTTTTTAGGTTTAATTGAAATGAATATTCTAGTGAATAGTCCCTGCTTTAATACTACACATATTGTGTTCTTCCTCAGTTTCTTTGCTCTGAATTTATTTTGTACAGCACTGCTTGGCCCCCCATCTTTTTTACTGTTAGTGTTGTACTACCCATGGTACTACGGCCATGACTGTTGACCATATTGTCCTTTCTGCTTCTCAGATGTAAATCTGATAGATTTCCATGCGATAAATGTAGTCAGTGTATGGCAACATTATCATTCCTCTTCCATTTCCAGACCAGTATGGAAAGTGAGAGGCTTTTTGCAAATTGTTATCCATTAACAGTAAAAAAAAAAAAAAAAATCAGATTTTCAGGAGTTTGCCAAATTGGAGAGTATTATTTGTCAGATACTTGCTGTTTTTACCTTTTACATAAGTACTAGTCTCCCTTCACCTTCAACTCTCTCATCCACCATGGCACACCTGTGAAGCTAATGGAGAAAGTAATGACAGTAGTAGAGAAGCTAAAATGGAGCTAAAATATACTGAATAGTTGTAGATCCTGTGCACATTCATGAATTTGAACCTCGTGAGGGTTCAGTGAATTTAAAAGTTCCATGAATGTCCTTGGAAGGATGCCTCTCCCAGGCCCTAAGCTTCTGGAAGTATGGTGGAAATTTTCCAATAATAATGCTTTTTACAGTCAGTTCTATAATAAAAGCAAGCCAGCAAATGATAGTCAAGAAGCTAAAATGTACTGCCAAGAAATAGTTTCTTTGTACGTAGTTTTTAGATTATTTTTTTCAAATGTGCTTGATTTTGTGTGCTTGGTATTGCTTTTCTGCTCTGGAAGCTGCATAACTTTTTGAGCATATTCTTAATCTCCGAACTCAAGTATAGCATCCATGCCAGGTGTCAGTATATTCCTATCTATTCAGAATTTCCCTAGCCTAAATCTCAGCAGAATTTTTTATGAGAGGTGTTTGGTGACCTGAATTTGTTCTTCCTGTATATTTTATGAAGAATGCTGTTGGATCATTCAGTACTTCAGAAATGGTCCATTTTCCTCCTTTTTTTAGACATCACTGTTAGCAGATACATAACAATATTTTTTGAAAAAAGATATCAAACTTGCAAGTCTTTTGATGTCTTCAGTTGCTTCTGGGTATCCAGTTTGGAGCCAGGGCAAGAGTATTCTTGGTAAATTTTAAATTAGAAAGAGGAAGCTCATTATTTTTGTCAGATTCAGTCTTCTGCAATCAACTTTTCCTGCCATTGTTAGTTTCTGAGTAATTTAATGTTGACTGCTTTGTGCAAGGTTATCCTTAAAACATTCAGCGTCATGTTATGGAGCCATGTATATCTGTATTACTTCTGCTTAGTAAAGCAGACTTCTGCCCTCTTTAGGGGTTCAGATTAGTTTCTTTAGGAATTTAGTTTTAAACAACAACCCAAACCACTTAAATTTAAATGGCAAAACCTTACTGTACTGGTGTTTTTTGAGGTTTTTCTCTGATGTCACATCTTTTTGATAAGAACAGAACTTCAGTGATTTAGATGTCATAATATGAACATGCTTTTAATACTGTTTGTACACATAGAATGTTATGACATATACCCTGCTTAAAAGAATTGGAAAGTGAAGCACATCATACTAGTTCCAGTAATGGAGAAAGTATTGCAAGTGTTGAGTTCTATTCAGAAAAGTGTTTGAAACTTGGAAAAAAAAATCCTGTTGATTTTGGCTTTCCTCTGATATTCTTGGGGTGATAACCCAGAGCTGATAAATTGCATCCTTTTGGATGATCAATGTCTAAATACATGTCCTAGAAGTATGGTTAAATTTAATGAGCTGCAGAAACTACTTTAAGAAGTTCTTAATTTCTGAGCATAGGTCCCAGGATATAAAGTTCTAAAAGCACTGTTTTCAGTGATAAACTACAGGAGACCATAATTTGCCTTGTCATTAATATCAGAAAAAAAAAAGTGTATTTATTTTTAAAAGTATATATCATTTACTTTTTTTTCTTGAAACTTTTAAGTGTCATTGATAAACATAGTTTAGTAATTTTTCTCAGAGGACTGATAAGGTTGCTTTGTATTTCAAGTTATGTGTAAAATACTTCGTATCACTGTAAAAGATGCTAAATAAGTGTACAGTTCCCTGATATAATACTATTTTGTGTGTTTATTGACATAAATCTTCTCCTAAAAAGATGAAACAGTGAAGTCTGATGTTCTGCAATACAAACTGAAGTCCTTACAGGCTGATACGCAATATACTGTCTATATCATGGCAAGCAATGAAGCTGGTGGAACCAGTGGAGAGCCAAAAACCTTCAAGACTTTGAAATTCAGTAAGTAATATTCCTGGTTAGTTATGACTATTTTAAAAGCAGGTTTGAGAGTAAGAATTATAGAATATTTTTGTTTTAGGCATTTGTTAATTTTATTTTTTTTTTATATTAGTGTTTAACGAAACAAGGAAGAATTACCAACACTAGCTGAATTTAACTCAGTTTCACTGATCATCTCACAGAATAAAACCTCAGGATTAGAAATCAGACCCCCAAAATCTTGTTTTCAGTAAAGCTGTGGAATACTATGGATGTTTGTGGGATCTGTCATGCTGTCAGTTGAGTGATGGCGTGCCTAACAGTTTGATTAAAAACAGTCATTTCCATCTGAGAGACTAGATTTAGAATAGCTGGGCATTGCATTGCATTTCTTCTTCTATGTAAATTTAAGTAGTAAATGAATGCACAGGATGTGGCCATTGTGCGTGGGGAGATAATCTCTTAAGTTTTCTAGACATATTTACTGTGGAGGTTGATATGACGCCCATGGGTTCAGATGGTTCCTCACTTCTACTTCTGGAAGAATGCTTCCAGTACATGTATTTTCATGGTGGTGGCCAAACTGAAATGTAAAAAAGTGCATGAATTATCCCTAAACTTTTTATGGGATTCAAAGCTGATTTATTTTTTGTCTGAAAAGTCATCTGCTAGTTTTCTAGTAAAACGCAAAGTAAGGTAGACTATGCTGAGGTCTGGTCTCTATTGCTGTCAGTATTTACCTCTAGTAGGTTCTTGGAAGCCAGCTTAGAAATCTGTGCAGTATTTTGTGTATTCAAAACCTATTTCCTGCATTGAATTTACTATTTATTTTGTAGTGATGGGTAAAAGCGGCACTATATGGCAGTTTTAGGTGATTCTAAACCAACAGGTACCTGGAGGGGTGTAGGCTCTTAATTCTAGGTGACTTTCAAAGATTGGCTTGGTATGACCCTAAGCAACCTGATTCTGATTTCAAAGTTGGATGAGATGACCTGTAGATATCCCCTCCAATATGAATTATTCTGTGATTCTGTTAAATGAAGGAAATTTTAAAATTCAATACATCTGTTCCTGAGATATCCTGACAAGTCTCATTATGAGCAGCTTTTCTGGCTCAGTGACAGGTTGGATTAAAAATATTCATCTTTTAAAAATTGTGCAATGAGTACCTTACAGTATTCTGAATAGTTTTGGCTAGTTTTAGCATAGCATTTTAGAACTGTGTAATTAGGTGTCTTGGATGTTGGACATTAGCTATCTTAAGGCAATACTTGAAGAAATTATAAACATCTGTGGTGTTGGGTTTTCTTTTCCTTCTCTCCTCTAAAGATCAGGAAGATGTTATTTTCATTGCTCTGCCTGTTGGATTAAGCATGTTGGTTCTGCTAGGCTTTTGGATAACATACATTTTGAAAAAACATGCGTGAGTACGTTTTCTACCTTCTAAAACTGAATGCAATCAGTTAATTTTAACTTGTAAAAGGCAAATTTTTATATATATATATATAGAAATGATTTTGTTGGGTTCCAAACCGATGTCAAATTAAGAAAATAAGCAATTGGAGTAACAAAGAACTAAGCATACAGGTTATCTTGTAACTTCTGTAGTCCAAAAGTAAATACAAACTTTTAGAAAGTGCAGTAAATCAGAAAAAAAAAAAGAAATAGGAGAAGCAGATTTACATACCACCTATATCAATTTATGGAAAATGCTGTATGCCATTTGCAGTTCCATGGTCAACCAAGTGAGGGGAACATACTTCAAACTAATTAGTGAAGAATTAATAACGCCAAAATACAGTTTTCCAGGTCCTCATAGTACATCTCCTAGTACACCACTAGAACACGTCACATAACCTCTGTTGCTTAACTTAGCTACATTGGTGTTACTTTTGTTAGTTTGTGACACTTACTCTGAACCGTAAAGAAGTCATGAAGAAACTAGAAATTACATCACCTCAAATGAAACATTTGGATGTTTGATCCATTGGTATGGATCCCTGTCTATACCTGATTCATAACCCTTTAGTATGCTATTGCAGGTGTTCCATGCCAAATTTAAAATTGCTTCCTAAGAGCATGGGATGCTATAACAGGATTAGTTAAGGTTGTAAGTTGTGCTTTTCTTTAGCATGAAAAGTGAATGGTTGTTTGGATGAAGCTTAATAAGAAAGTTGAAAATCTACACTATTTTGGGGTGTTGTAAGATACTGGAACCAAGATTGTGGCCATGCAAAACATCAGGTAACAAGCATAGCTGAAGTAGTAAGCATAACTTCCAGCTGTTTTACATATTCAACTGTGTTGTGTATTCTGAATTTTTACAGTAGTAAGAAACTATGTTTTGATTCTGGAGAACAATTTGAGATGTATTCGAGTGTTAATATTCTTGTGTATATGTATATTCATATCAATATGAAAAGTCAAGCTATGGCCTTGTTCTCATTCAGTTACACATACATCTAGAGTCAATGAGTGATTAATTTCTTTCCTGTTTACTAGTCCGTTGGACAGTTACAAGCTGCAGTGTCAGCATCATTTATCTGCTGTTAACCTAAGAACTCAGAGTAGCTCTAATATGGTGTAGTGCTAGGGACACTATCCTAGAGCAAAGCTTACTTGAATTGGCTTTTCACTAAAGAACTACACTGAAATATAGTCATAACAGATTTTGTATACAGCCTTGTTTTGGCATGGTAGTATTTGATCTACTATATAATAAAATTACCTTTGTGTAGTAGTAATCTTTATGTCATGTCTCTGTGACCCAAAAGTTTTACTTGCTGATACCTTTTGAAATAGAAATTAATGTGAGGGAAAACTATTATAGTGAAAAAGAAAAGATTGTGTTAATACAGGGGGGACTTCCTTTGTAAAAGTTTGATATTGTAGCAGTGTCGGGAATTTCTGGAGATTTGTTAGTTTTATTTTTAGTAATCTATTTCTTTTGTCATTTGACTAAAATTCCTTTTTCAATGATAGGTTTAAAAAGGCTTGCTGGCCTGATATACCCAATCCTGCAGAGAGCATTGCAGTTGAATGGCCTCTTGATGCATCTATGGTAATTATTGCAATTTCATTTATTACAAAAGGGTTCAAGTGGAGATAAGTCAATCTTTGACTTTTTATGACTAAATAAAAAATCCTGTTGAGTTTCATTTTCCTGTTTAAGTGCTATGGAGTGCTCTTAACTGAATTTCAAACTGATAGAACAGATGCATCTTTATAAAGTAAATTCATTTAATTCTTACATGATAATGGGAAATAGTGTTTTGAAGTTATAAAGTGATGAGTGGACATGATTTATTAAATAAAGTCAATTAAATTTGCTCAGTTTATTGAGTCTACCTAGTCAGATTCCCACCCCAGGGTACCTCCTCCCTTTTCCACAAAAAATGCAGGGTCATATGATAAGATTTGGTATATTATAATACAAATATTTCTGTCTTATTTATTGTTGGATATTTATTCCTAAATAAAGTTTTAATGTTTATTTGAATGAAGTTGATCAGGGTTACATAGAAAGTGTAATCTATGGAGAATGGGATTTAAACTTTTGTCTCAAAAATTGATGGTTAAATTGGAAAAGACAGCCCAAGCCTACTTCTGAGCCTTCATTTGAAACTCCTTATTTTACTGAGCACAAAAAATATAATATGAAAGTGTTTAACGAATGGACAGGATAACATTGTCATTTTTAGTACTTATTCACATATAACTGCATCCCAGGTGAAATGCAAATGAAGTCTTCTATTAATGCACTTTTAAAATTGAGTTGAGCAGAGTTCAAATGGCAATATTTTATGTATTAAAAAAATAAACTAATGCATGATCTCTCCCCATATAATTTTCCAATTTATCTCTTTGTACTGACAGAATAATTCATTTTTGAAGGGAGTAACAACTGAGGCTAAAACCATAGACTTTGAAGACATAAGCGTTTTGGAACATTGTTTTCCTGAAGACAGCCAGGAAGGATCACTACTAATGAATTTTGAAAACCATGTTTCTGCATGTACTGATACTAATATAAAAGGCATGGTTAACAGAGGTAAAAAGATACTGTATAATAAAGAAAATGAAGTTGCTAAATGTTTTTCACCATCCATGCCTTATGTAATTACTGATCAAGATATCAGAAGTCAAACGCATTCAGCCTTGATACCAGTGAAAGAAATCCAATGCATAGAAAAGCTGGAAGATGGTGTATGTGGATCTCCTCAACAGACCTCAATTAAAAATGAAGAAAATGATCATGAAGTTTTAAAGCTGAAAGATTTCAGTGAAAAAGCACTGTTCAATCCATACCTTAAAAATTCTGTTAAAACTAGAGAATTTCTTAGTTCTGACAGCTTGCCAGAACACAGTAAGAATGAACCCAAAAGTCAGTCAACTGTTTTACCTTCTTTTCACCAAAATGTCGCTGGACAGGCCTACATAACAGTGGACATGTTTGGGCTGGACACAGCTCATTAGCATGAAGAAACTTTCCTTTGTAAATTCCTCTTACAACATAATTGGGCACTGCTACTTGCATGTGTATGTGTATTCTAACCTGGCTGGTCTCAGTTAATTTGGGTGAAAACAACTTCCCTTGGACAGCTGTTAAGTAATTTTTTGCCCTGTGTTTATACCCATGAAGGTTCACTTTTTGGTTTGGAGAGGGTTTTGTTTGTTTGGTTGGTTGTTTTTTACCAAATAACTGTGCCAGTTGAGAGGCAAAGGAAGTGCCTTTTCCTATTTCTTCTTAGTTCTCCCATATGAATTTGCTGAAACAAACTCATCTTTACTGTGGGAGCATCTGGCAGTGCAAGCAGCTGACTGATTTCCAGTTCTCATGGCTGAGCTCTGCTAGGGAGACGTGGACTGACTTGAACACAGCCAGTTCTTGAACAGACCTAAATTCTTCCTTAAGTTACACAGAGTAGAACTATTTTCCTGTTCTTATTTCCCTCAATTGTTTTATATTTTGTTGTATGGTAGCTTTTGGTAATTGCCTTTATGCATCCTAACTCTTGAATTGGTGGTTTGGCTCCTAGTTTCTCCTCTTTAATGAGAGGATATTTGTTCTGTATATGCTGTTGACGTGTGTGCATTTTGGAACAGGTAGTGTTATGCTGGCTTTGTTTCTTCCTTCCCTTTCTTGTGTTACATTTTGTGCTGCTTTTGTCTCTCCTGTTGTTTCCTGCCTTTTAAAACTCTGTTTACTGCAGGGTGTCTTGTTATCTTTTTGCCCCTTCACCTAATTTCCCCCAGATTAAAACTGTTTCACAGTTGAGGTTTTGATAGTTTGAATTGAAAAAATTCAGCTAAATACAGCATCTTGTGCTGGGATAAGCACTGAGCTTATATTTAGGAAATTATTTTTCTGGGAGGTATTGAAGAAACACTACCTCTACAAAATATCACCAGATAACCTTTGATTTAGGAGTAGAGATTTTGACATGAAGGCTGTAAGTCTGTCATTTATTTTATGATTTTGATAAATCATAATCCTTCTTGTAGTTTCCACACTATACCGCAGCAATTAAGCAGAAAACTCCCATCACACTAATTGTTTTTATTTTTTCATCAGGAAAGAGGATATTGCTGTAAAATTCTTATAAAAATATTTACTGTGTTAAATGACAGGTTTTTTAAAAAAATAGAGATGGAGAGTCATCTCTAGGTAAAATGTGGCAAAAGGGGATGTTCAGCATAACACGTGTGACATATAGCCATTTTAAGACTTCATTTTCACAGCATTTAAAGGCTTGATGTCACCAGTCTTATTTGCACATAATAATACTTCTTTAGGGGTGAAACAGATACAGGAGTCATGGGGATAGAAAAAGGAAAAACAAATGTGAATAGGAATAGAAGGCCTTTCCTTTCTGCACAGGAAAAAGAGTGGGAGAATGGAAAGACACGTTGTCCAGCATGAATGGGGAGGCTGAGCCTTATCCTGAATGAACTGGCTATTACTTGCATTGTGTTGGGAAAGACAGGGTGAAGTTTGCATTTAGGCTTTTCATCTATAGTTTGGAAGCTGATTTTACATGTATCATTGTTTGTTTAGTTTCCAAGGAAGGATGAGAAAACAATAACTGCAAGTGTACCTTGTACAGCAACACTGATTTCCACTCCTTATGCCTCAAGTCTGTTGGATCACTTTGCCAACCACAGTGCTATAAGCCAACTCGTAAATATATAAGCTTGTTCTTAAAAGCCCTTGCTTACTTGGATAAATCATGCTCTGAAAAGGGTGTGGGACATGGCGTTGGTTGGGTCAAAGCTCCTGCTGTTTCACTCACTTCCAGACTTCTCACTCATAGCTACACTGCCATTTCCTAGGGTTCAGAAATCACTAACTCAGTCACAACAGGTTTCCCCCTTTAAATATTAGTATTTGTTTTAATACCACGAGATTTAAAAATGGAGATATTTTGAGGCCTGTGTAGGAATTGAATAGCAGCTGTATGAAAGCTGCATACTCTGAGTTACATGATTGAGTCAGGTAAAAGATAATGCAACCTTTAAGGGAATCATTTGAAAGGAGAGGTTCTTACTGGATGATTACAGGGAGACTAGGATCTCCCTGTAACACCTCTTAGCTTCTATTAGTCTATTACTGCAGAGCAAGTAATAATCTGCTTCTCCATTCCACTTTATTTCCTTCTCTTTTGCTGTTCTGCATTTCTCTCCTCACTTCTCATTTCCTTGCCTGTTATTTTCTCTGAAAAAGAGTAATGTAATGAATGGTCTTGGTTTAACTTGGAAATGAGGACTGCCTTTTGCCTGTACTTTGGAATGCCACCTTCTTGGACTTGGTTTGTTTTGAGTTCAGTTGTACTGTTTCTGACCTTTTACAATTTGTCTTTCAAACTAATGCTGTGAACCATGAGGAAATAAAACTGAGAATACATGGAAAAGTTTTTATCTGTTTATACTGAATGCAACATTTAGACATCTTAGATTTTCATATTCATTTAGAAAAGTGATCGTATTTTGAGAGGGGTCCACAAATAGATTGGGTATTTGGGCATAGGGTATTTTACAATGTCAGCTGGCAGTGACAGGTTGGATGTTACAATACTTTAACATTTCTGATACTGTTTTTAATAGAACACTTGGTGTCGTTATTCCCAGAGAGTAGTCTTCCTAGATTTCATTTCATTTACCATCACTGATCTGAAAACCTTGCATTTCTATCCTTCATTAAAATGCAGAAAATTAATCTCTCAGGTGTGTTGGTCTTTGCAAGGCTAACAGAGATCAGCTTGTGGATATTTTCAGGATGACATTGATGCATCTTCACAGTTGTCATTTCATTCTCTGAGTATGACACCAATTACTCATTTCTGACATTAAGGCTTATGCCTTGCAAAGAATTCATAGGTCATGTTTTTCATATTTTCAGCTAATTTAAATGTTCAGTCTTTGTTACCTGAACTTACCTTTAACTCCCCAGAATTTTGAATTCTTTGAACAGGAATCCCACAATTCTTTGATATAGCAGAGTGACCTCTTACAGTCAGATTTTCCAAACCACATAACCTATGGTATTTCTGTGTTCCTCATGCCCTTTACAGTTGCCCAAATAGGGAGAAAAAGATATATTCATTGTTAATGCAGTGAAGAGAAGGAAGCTTTCTTCCTCCAGTTAGCGCTTTCTTGGCCAGTGCATGCTCCTCCAGAGATGATGTGGCTGCTGCCGAGCAGCAGCTGCAGATGGACTGGCAAGGGTCTGGCCTAGGTGGTGTTATTTAGTGTTTGTCTTAATACAGCAGGTAACATGTTGTCTTCTCCCATTCCTGAAAGGGTGATATATCATAAATAGATCTTTCTTTCTGAGATAGTTGATAACTTCTCAAGATAGATGTTATTGGCTAGAACTTACTCAGAAGAGTTGTATTGCTAGTCCAGGTCTGTGTCTTGTGTAGCAAAGGTAAATGTTTGCATGCAGCAGAGACCTAATCTGTGCAGAGTGTGTGTGTGTGACTCGGCTTAGCAAATGGGCTCATGTCACCTTTGCAGTCATTTCAATACACCTGTTACAATTCCTTTTTACCAGTTTCTCACATTGATGGCACAGGCTTTGTGTTTGTATGTTGCTTTGAGATTTAACATTGCAAGATGTGTGAAGGAGTGCAGGAAGGCTGGACATTCTTTAAAAAGGAAATCTTCAAGGTGCAGGAGCTTGAAAGATAAGCTGATGGGGAAGACCAGCCTGGCAGAACAGAGAGCTTTGGCTGGGAGTCAGGGAAAAAAAGATGTTAACCTTTGGAAGAAGGAACAGGCAGCTCAGGAGAACTACAAGGATGTCATGAGGTTATGAAGGGAGAAAACTGGAAAGGCCAAAGACCAACTAGAACTGAACCTGGCTGTTGCCAAAAAAGACAATAAAAAATGTTTGTACAGGTACATTATCAACAGAAGGAGGGCTGAGAAAAATCCCCATCCTTTATTGGATGCAGGCAGAAGCAGGGAGAAATGATGAAGAAAAGGCTGAGGTACTTAATGCCTCCTTTGCCTGAGCTTTTAACAGTAAGACCAGTTGTTCTCTGGGTACCCAGCCCTCTGAGCTGGAAAACAGGGACAGGGAGCACAATGAAGCCCCCATAATCCAAGGGAGATGGCCATCAACCTGCCACACAACTTAGACACAAGTCCATGGAACCAGATGGGATCCACACAAGGGACTGAGGGAAGTGCTCACCCAGCCACTTCCCACCATGTATGAGCAGTCCTGGCTAACCAGGGAGGTCCCAGTTGGCTGGAGGATAACAAATGTGACTCCCAGTTACAAGAGGGGCCGGAAGAGGATCTGGGGAACTGCAGGCCTGTCAACCTGGCCCTGGTGCCAGGGAAGGTTATGGAGCAGATCATCCTGAGTGCCATCACACGGCACAACCAGTACAGCACAACCAGCTGATCAGGCTCAGTCAGCATGGGGTTAGGAAAGGCAGGTCCTGCTTGACCAACCTGATCTCCTATCACAAGTTAATGTGCTTAGAGGATAAGGGAAAGGCTGTGGATGTTTTCTACCCAGGCTTCACTAATGCCTTTGACACCATCTCCCCCAGCATTCTCCTGGACAAAGAAGCTGCTCATGGCTTCAAAAGGTGTACCTTTCACTGGGAAAAAAGCCTGGATTGATGGGCAGGCCTGAAGAGTTCTGGTGAATGGAATTATATCCAGTTGACAGCCAGTCACAAGTGGTGTTTCCCAGGGTTCAGTACTGGAGCCAATTCTGTTTATCAGTGGCCTGGATGAGGGAATTGAGTAAACTCACAGTGAATTTGCAGATGACACAAAGCTGGGTACTAGCACTGATCTGCTGGGGGAGGGTAGGAAGGTTCTGCAGAGGGATCTGGACACACGGCATTGATGGTGCAAGGCCAATTGCATGAGGTTCAACAAGCTCAGTGCTGGGTTCTGCACTTGGGCCACAACCCCATGCAGTGCTACAGGCTTGGGGCAGAGTGGCTGGAAAGCTGCTCTTTGGAAAAGGACCTCGGGGTGCTGATTGATGGAGCTGAACATGATCCAGCTTGTGCCCAGGCAGACAAGAGGCCAACAGCATCCTGGCCTGTATCAGCAATAGTGTGGCCAGCAGGGCCAGGGCAGTGATCATCCCCCTGTACTGGGCACTGGTGAGGCTGCATCTCGAATCCTGTGTTCAGTTCTAGGCCCCTCACTGCAAGAGAGACATTGAGGTGCTGGGGCGGGTCCAGAGAAGGGCAATGGAGCTGGTGAAGGGTCTGGAGCACAAGTGTGATGGGGAACAGCTGAGGGACCCGAGGGTGTTCAGTCTGGCAAAGAGAAGGCTCAGGGGGGACATTATTGCTCTCTACAACTACTGCAAGGAGGTTGTAGTGAGGTGGGGGTCAGTCTCTTCTCCCAAGTAACAAATGATAGGATGAGAGGAAATCAGTTGTACAACAGGAAAAAATTCTTCACCAAAATATTTGTCAAGCATTGAAAGAGGCTGCCCAGGGATGTTGTTGAGTCACCATCCCTGGAGGAATTTAAAAGACACGTAAATGTGGCATTTGGGGACATGGTTTAGCTGTAAACTTGGCAGTTTTGTGGTTGGACTCGATGATCTTAAGGGTCTTTTCAAACATAAATGATTCTATGAGTCTGTAGGGTGCATTGCAGACATACTCCACTCTGTTGTGTGGATGAAATTTCAGATCTCATTAAGTTCTCAGCTCCTGTCTGCCCTGGGAAACAGATTACATTTCTTGCTTGTTCTGAGCTTCTTTCCAGCTAGTCTTATACGGCTTACATGGGCACTTTGGTTCCCCCCCCAGCCCCTTTGTTGTCTCCCTACATGAAGATGTGTTCAGCGTTACCACACGTTATGCATATTTGCCTGTCTTCACCAGATTGGTCTGCATGAGAAAACTTAAGCATCCTTGTTGTGAGAACAAATTTATGTACAAAATGGGAAGCATATTGTGCTGTTCCTGTCCACTGTATGGTTTTTACAGTGTATTGGACATTCACAGGTAAGGATAGATCAAATGTTACCTTCATTGTTTGCTTCTTTTAGAGCTTGTATAATCAGAGCATCCTCAGAAAGTAGACTTTCAAGTTGGTGTAGCTTCAGCAGAAGCGATGCAGTTATGTAGATGTGTATCATCTCTGTAAACACATTGATTCCTCTGAGAAACTGCGTATTGCAGTGTTTGTGTGCATCTGAGCATGTGTGTACATGTGTGCCTGGGCCCAGACACAGTGTGATATCATAATTAATCTAAGTTGTACAGGAAAACCTGCAGAGACGGAAGTTGTTTATGCAATTTATATTGCTTCTCAGCCTTATTCATCAGCACAGATAAGATTGCAAGCTGCTTCTCTGCTGGGATCTTCTGTTTCATGATATGCTTAGAATCTATCCTAAGAACCTTGGCCCTTGACCAGAAATCCTGATTTGTGTTTTTACTAATTTATTTTTCCTGTGCTTTTACCCTGACACTCCTGGTGGCAGTGTGTGCATTGCTTTCTCATCCAAGATCTGATGTGAGGTGGTAGCTAGCTCCTTCCATTTGCAGCTCAGTGCAAACCAGCACTTAAGTAGTCTCTATGATCAAGAAGCTTGAAACACAGGCAGGCTCAAGTCCAGAGCTACACTGATGGCGTAGGTGTATCTTCCAGTGCTGTCATGGTACAGATTGTATGATCAATAGTAAGATCGTAACTTTAAATGCCCGATGATTGCAGCTGTGATAGGCAAGTCTTGTGGATAATGCAAACAGATCTCCGCAGACACAAAGTTCTCAGAGTATTAATGTCAGGCTATGTTTCACACCTTTCAAAATGACACTGAAACGCTGGGCAGAACAAATACCAGAGATCATGCTGCCTGCAGCTTCATATGAATTGTGGTGCACGTGATGTGATGTGGTCATGCCAGTGACGTTTCAGCAGGTAGTTTTTTTCAGCTGAATGGTTCCAAATCCTTTGGCCTTATGCTGTCAGAGATTAGAAATATTACAAGGAAAGACGATGAATCACTCTGAAACACTATTTCAGTAATTGTGAACTCTCCCTTGATGAATTTGAGTGAGAGGGCGCTGTTATAATGGGCTTCAGGTATTATGTTGGAATGTTTTAACTTTGTTAATCTTGTTGTCAAAATACTAAATACTGAAGATTCATCAGCATAACTTTTGAGAAGTTACATACCAATCAGTGCAATTCTGAAAGTGATCACATGAAACAGTGGTTTTAATGACAAATTCACGCTTCTTAGCATTATAAGAGGTAACTTGTGAATATTTATTCAATAGCTTTATATTTTACCAGCAGCTATTCTGAAATATTCAGGTAAGATGCTCTACCAAAGGTCACTTGTAAGTAACACATAGACCCTTGTCTATCATAAATGATTTGAGATTATAAACAGCTTGCTTGTAAACAAGTGAAAT